TTTCTTAATTTCTTTCGGCCATTCCTGCTCTAGAAATTCTTTTAATGGTGAATAATCCGTATTAAAGCGTCGGTATGAAACCTTTTCTGTTCTCCAGAAATGACTACGGATCCAAACATATAACAATTGGGTACACCCTGAGAATCGTCCACCTCCTAGCCTTCTGCAAGCATTTAACGATCTGAAAGTCTCTGCTAGGATTGCAGAAACGGGATTAATCTTCTTCGGTAGCTGTTCAAACAAGTCTACCACTGCAGCTTCAACATATCCCAATACTTTTGGGAAGATAACCATACCATATATACCCAGAGCAAATAGATCGAATCGTACTTTAGCGTCTGGATGACTCTGAATAAGCTCTCTGATGTTGGTCCAAGCAATGCCTTCGCTTTCGCCTTTTTGTTTTGTACGGGATGCTACCCATTCTTCTCGTACTCCGGCAATCTTTGCTAATTTAACTCGAAAAGGTTGAGTTTTAATTGACTTTGAATATATTCGATTTTCCAAAGCACCTTCAAGATGTAACAAAGTTGTATATTCTTCAATAGTAGGGACCAAGTCCTCCTTATTGAAAGTGAAGCAATTGTACCCTGGATTCCAGAATTGAACTAGGGCTCGGAGTAATTCATCATCAACTTCTACATAGAGCAGATATGGGATGTCTCCGTAAGTCTGATAAAACTGCAATTTTTTGTTTGAATCCCAACTTTCCCAAATGCTTCGCAAATCTTGCATATCATTTCTTTTTAGTGAAACTGAAGCATAACTGGCCAAGTCAGATACATAATCATCCTGCAGACTATCTCCTCCTTGTCTTTGTAAATCCTCAGCCCACTGTCTTACTTCTGAGTTCAGAATTATTTGATTTGAACACTTTTTATCCATAGATGAAGGCTTTCCAATGAGACAATTAACACAAGGATCAATGTCTTTTATCCTGTATGATGCAATGCAAACAGAAAAATAAAGAACACACAAAAAAAATAAATTAGTTTACATAAAAAATTCAATAATAACATTTATTTAATTTAAACATGCTTTTCTAAATTTAAATAATTTAAATAAACATGTAATTTAAACAATAAACAAATTAACAGGAAAGCCAGAATTCATTTCTCCTGTGTGTACATCTATTTTGGACAAAATTTTGGCATGACTTCGGATTGGAAGAGTTTCTAAGGTTTTTTATATGCAGGGTTTCAGATCTAGGAGTAAAGGTACTCGAATTGTCCATGTTAGTGCCCCCTTAGGCTGCTAACCCTCAACCCTAGTCCATCACAGACTAAAGTGGATCGAGTTCAATTCGAGGGGATACATTTCTCTATATCTGACATGGAGAATAAATTCTCACGAAGACATAGAGCATATGAACCCCGGAAGTTACTTGCTAGGTCTGACACGGAGAATAAATTCTCACGAAGACGTCGCTTTCACCCCCACTTAAAAGGGACAACTCAATTATAGAGCTTTATGTTATGCAATGCAAGTGTTGTGTGTGAGGAGAAATGCTCAAACCTTTGACAGTAAAATAAATAATGAAATAAAATAATTACAAATAAAATAAAACAGATAAATATTATGAAAATAATAAGTAAATATAAAAATTTTGAAAAAATAAAATTAAAAATTAAATATATGAATTTTTAATTTTTAATTTATAGAGACAATTCATAATTGATTTTTTAAAAGTTTGACCGGTCCCCAGCGGAGTCGCCAAGCTGTCGTAACCGGTTTTCGTCCGGGTACGAAATATTAAAATTTGGCGGGGAAATTAATGTTAATAAATAATTTTGAAAATAATTTGGGAGTCGCCATCGGCCTTTTGGGTCAGGTAGGTCGAATACCTAAAAATTATTTTTTAAAAGAGTTTTAATAAAACACCAATTAAAAAAAAACTGATCTGCGTTTATAACCAAAAATTCATTCTTTTTAATAATAAAAAGGGATTCGTGGTCGGTTACGTTTAGGGAAGGATTAGCACCCCTACAACGCCCAAAATTGGTACTTTTTAATTATAAATTGTCTCTATTATTAAAATTTTAAAAATTCAAAAATATATTTAATTTATAATTCTATTTCAAAATTATAAAAAATATTATTATTTAAAAATATCCGAAAAGAACTTCTAGGTGCCTTAAGACAGCTCTTTTCTTTGATATTGATAAATATTAATTTAAATAATATTGTTTACTTTTTAATTTTAAAATATCAGAATAGAACATCCAGTTGTATTAAGACTGTCCTTTTCTTCGATATTAAAATAAATATTTAAAAATTACTATTTATTATATATTTATGAATATAAAAATATTTAACAATATAATAAAATAAAAATACAAATACTACTAAAATATATTTAAAAACAATAAAATAAATGAAAACATATAAAATAACTGATTATAATAAAAATAAATTAAGAATCTAATTCATAATTAATCAAAATTATAGGGATTTAATATGTTATTTCCTTATTTATTTATTTGGTGACTAAATAAAATTATCTAAAATTCGGATATTAGAATCAAATAAATTAAAAATATAAACTAGGGATTAAAATATTTTTATTAGAATTAAGGGATTAAATCTGTAATTTATCCTAAATAGATTATTTTAATATGAAGGACTAAAATAAAAGAAATTAAAATTCGAAGACTGAATTAAAAATATTATAAATTTAATTTAGTGACTAAAATGTAAAGTTTACAAGTTCGGAGGACTGCGGACGGGATTTAACTATTTCATAATTACGCGCATAGTCCTTCCCGAAACGACGTCGTTCGGGAAGGACTATAAATGGTCCAAACTGGCTGGCCCGAAGGGCCAACCATTTCATTTTTTTTTCTCTCTCTAGCAGAGAGAGTTTTAAAACTCTCTGCCTTCTCTCTAGCTTCCCTCATCGGAGGGAAGCCGATCACTAGTCGGCCACCGTGTGCCGCCGTGAATGTCACCGCCGGCCACCACATCCGGTGGCCGGAAAATTTATTTTTATATTATTGAATAGATCGGACCGTCCTAAGGACGGTTCCGATGTTCTTTTTCTTTAAATGGCTCCCAATCGGAGCAGATCTATAAATATACCTTCGGTTTTTTGAAGGTTCTGACGAGATCCGGTGGTCGACGCTTCCTCGGTAAGTCTCTTCTTCCTTTTTCTCTCTTTTTTTTTCTTCTGGTTCTTTGCTGCTGAGATCGTTGGTAGTTTTATATCTCTCTCTATTTTCCTTTTTTTCTTTTTTTTTTCTTTTTTTGTTCTGTCTCTGTCCCTGGTTTTTGTCTCTCTCTGGTTTTTTGCTTGCAGATGGGTGGTGGCTTTTATAGCCACCACCGGTGTTCGTCTCAGACCGGTCCGAAGAGGGGGCCTCGGTGAGTCACCGGACTACCAGTGGTGACTCACCCCGTAGCCTTGCATGGACGGCTGGAGTTGATTCTCTGGAAGCATCATTCGGGACGTGGCAGCGGCGGAGGCAGTGAGGGCTTCTGGAAGCAGCAGCGGCGGCGCTGGGACGTGTCCCTAGGGTATAGATACCCTAGGGTTTTCTCTGGCAAATGGTGGACCGTTGGATCAAACCAGATCCAACGGTTGAGATTGAAGATGGCGGCTGGCTAGATTAGGGTCAGGAAACCCTAACTGGAAACCCAAATATTTAGGGTTTCTGGTTGGATTTGGACCGGCTCTGGTTGGTTTGTAACTGGGCCGGTTCAATTGTAATTGGGCCTGTAATTATATTTTTTATTATTTGTTTGTTTTTAATAATATTTATATGTATTTAATATATTTAATAATAATAGTAATAATAATAATAATAATAATAATAATAATAATAATAATAGTAATAATAATAATAATAATAATAATAATATTAATAAATAATATGGATAAAAAATTAGTATCTTCAAGATCCAAGCTAAATATCATAGAAATGCCCAAACTTTGTGACAAAGTCTAAACCCTACGGACGACAACCCAAACTTATATAAAAAAAATCAATGCCTGCAAAACACATTCAATACTGATACTTGATTCTGATTTGCAACTGCTGAAATCAAATTTAAAGATGGATGATAAGTAGTCGAACCAGACTTGACGGATGGTGTGTTGAATCAAAAGATTCATTGAACCACATAGGATTGTTATAAGCTACTGCTGAATTCAGGTTTATGTAAAAAAATTGTGTTATGAATACTTAATAATAGAATTTAAGTTGGATGTAACTTGTTTATTGGGTAAATACTAAACACTATATGTTTGATGAATTTAAGTGTTTGGAATGTATTTAGAAAGTTACTTGTAGCCCCTTAAAAAGACAAGATGTTTAACCTCTTAAACGTAATAAAATACCAAGTGAGCCCCTATATTTTTATGCATGATAATTTAATCTCTCAACTTGATACTGGTTCATGTTTTGATTGCATTAATGTTTAAATTTTTTTATTTGCCTTTAAATTTGATTGAATTTTTCTCAATCGATGTCTCTCCTGGTTCGATTTAAAATCAATCGGTTTAAAACTTGAAACAATCAGGTCTTCAAACTTGAAACAATGTCTAATCATATAATTAAAATACCAGACACATTAATAAGGTCAGAAGACATTTGACTATACTATATTTATTGGCAATATATATCGTTGATCCTGAGGCAAGTAACCAAAATGGTATATCAGGGACAAAAATAGCTTTGAAGATGGCATGGTTCACTCAACATATTATATGCTTATCTAATTCAACTCTGTTACTATTTTCGAAAGCGTAATTCATATTTTTGTTAGGATATAATAGACATATTTATTTTTAAAATAATTTTAAATTTATTTATTAAATTATCCCTAATGTTACTATTTTTTCTCAGCAAACGTTATTTTATTACCAAGTTTTCAGTTATTCCAATCGAGCCTCTCATTGAAAACCTTCCTAAACCTAGATAGGGAAAAGAGTACTCCACAGTCTTCACTATAAGCTTATAGTCCACAGTTTAGCACCTCTTAATGGTATCAACTCGTTTGCAATGCAGCTAGATCAATCAAGAGAAAAATGCATCGTCAATGTTTGCCAGCCAGGGAAAAACTTATTGATTGCAGGCCATTGCCTATACTCAAGCTCTGTAGTCTTCACTATTTCCTTAGGCAATGGGTGTTTGCATTTGTTGAGATACTTCATGCAATTCATGCACGTGTGTCGTTAGTCTGCTAATAAAGGTTGTTAGTCTGTTGTAAACAGTTTCAAAAGCTATTGAAATTGTTAAGCTTTCTGTTACAGCTAAGCTATAAGTACCAAAACTTTGTAGATTGCAAAACACGTTAATTTACAATGAATTCTTTTTACTTATTCTTTGTTTCTTCTAGACCTATTATTCCTGCTAGATCTAATATGGTATCATTCGATGTTCGTTCATGAGGTTTTCTGCTGCTTGCTGCGTCGTCTTCTTGTTGATGGAGTTCCCTATTGGTAAGACTTTCACAAACAAGAAGGTGAATATTATCCTTGATGAATCCAATTTTTTGCTTTGGAAGCAGCAAATTCTGGTTACTATTCGTAGTCACCGATTAGAACGGTTGCTAACTGGTTTTGTTCGTCCTCCTCCTGCAACGGTGGTTGATGAGCATGGTGAACCGGTGTCGAATGATCTGTATGAAGAGTATGTTGCGCAAGATAGTGCACTGGCCTCTTGGTTGTTATCCACGATCAACCCTCATTTGTTGTCCCAGTTTGTTGGAGTGGAGACGGCAACGGCAGTCTGGAGTACGGTGTTGCAATTTTTTGCAAACAGATCTACCACAACGGTTATCAGTCTCCACTATAAGCTTCAGTCTCTCAAAAAAGGAATGATAGCATGCGTACGTATCTCACCCGTATAAAAGAGGTATGTGATGCGTTGGCATTGTGTGACAATGCGATTCCTCAAGCCGAGCATGTTGCAAACATATTGAAAGGTTTTCCCCGAGAGTATCAACCTACATCGCGTTCATAACCACTATGAAAGATGCATTATCTCTTGATAAAATCTGTTCACTGTTAATTGATGCAGAGACTCAACTTGCCGGTTTAGATTCTCAGGAGGATTCTCTTCCGATGAGTGCTCATATAGCTCAGATTGGTTCTGGTTCAAAGACTGGAAGTCATGGTGTTAGGTTTTTCAGACACTCGAATCGACAACCGGAATGGTTTGCAAAGAGGGGTTGGAATGGTTTTTGAGTTTAGGGAGTAAGGAGATTGAAAGATAGAAAATTACACAACGATTTAGAGTGGTTCGACTTTCTCAACCAAAGTCTACGTCCACTACCTTAGCTCCTCACCAAGGATTTTCCAACAAATTCACTAATTTGTTCTTTCTTTTGAGGGCAAAGAGATAACCTTACAACTCCCTAGTTTTTTCGGGCTAAACTAGAACCTTTCCCTAGCTTTTACACGGGATAAGCTAGAAAATTTCCCTTTTACAAAAGGATAAAAAATGTAAACAAGAAAACCTCTCTAAGGTAGGTGTTTAGAAGATAGAGCTCACAAAAACAAAATATTTACAAGAGAAAGATGAAATAAGAATGAAAAACTCTTCTCTTGTGTTTGATTGCTTTGATAGTTGTTCTCTCTGTCTTCAAGTGTCCTTAGCTTGTATTTATAGCTTGGAATGTGTTTGAAGTCGTATATAGCCGTTGGGGATGTTTTGGATCCGTTTGGGGATGATTTTTCTGCTCAAAAAGGCTGCCCATAATAGGGGGTATCGGTACCCTATCATAGGGTATCGATATTCCTTCATTAAATTCAAATAAAACTAACCGTTGTAGCCAGGAGGTATCGATACACGGGGTATGGATACCCCTGGGGGGTATAGATACCATCCGAGCAATCTTAAATTTGAGCCTTCAGGGGGGTATGGATACCCCTGCAGGGGGTATCGGTACCCTATAGCATTTTTGCTCAAATTCGAATTTTAATGGACTTTGAATTATTTTTGAAACCTTTTAAAACTTTGAATAAATTCAATTAAGTCCAAAAACATTTTGTAAATTCAATTCAAGTCCAAAAACCATTTTGCCTTAAATTGTTATATCAAAACATAGTTCAACAATCTCCCCCTTTTTGATATAACAAAACATTTGAAAAATTGTTTTTGGCAAAACTCCCCCTTAATAAAATGTTTAATGAAAAAGATACCAATTGTTACAAAAGGATACTAATTGTTAAAAAGATAACCAATTGTTACCAATTGTTGGAAAATATATGAAAATGTTAAGCTCCCCCTTTTTCATTAAGAAATTGAATTTTTCAAACCAAAACTTCTCCCCCTTTTTGTTATATAAAAAATAATTCAATATTTAAAGTTCAAAATAACTTTGGAGAGTAAGTGATAAATTTGGCATTTTAAAAATAATTTGAAAAATCAAAGCTCCCCCTCAATAAATGCATTTCAAACAAAAATTAACATTTAAGGTCTTGACACTTTAAAAACATTGAATTTCAACAAAGAATAACAAACATGTTATTAGCAGATGAAATTCAATGTATCCAAGTCTAAAATACTTTATGCAATACCAATTGTGGAAATTTGATATTAATACCAATTGTTTAAAATTAAGTGCATTTGCATAAAGTTTTCCAAAAATGTTATGCATTTTGAAAATTTTGATATCAATTGTTAGAGAGATATCATTTTCATTTAAACTATATGCATAATCATTTAAATTTAGGTCAAAAATTTTAAAGATTTATAAAATCAAAGTATTTGAAAAGTTGATATCAATTGTTAGAGAGATATCATTTGCATTAAAACCAATTTTGACCAAAATTTTATTATGATGAACTAAAAATTAATATAACTTTAAAATGTTCATCATAATCATCTTTTCAACATACATGAGATTAAAAACAATGATGCATAATCATTTAAAACCAAAACTCATGTATGCTTAAAATCAAATGAGCAACCAAATAACCAAAATTAAAAGTATTAAGCTTAGAGGTTACCCATTCCTTTTTCATGTGTGGCTAGAGCATCTTGAATATCATCATTTTCATCACCATTGCTCCCACACACCTACAAGAGACATTTAAGTAGATTTTGGTATCCAAATTACTTTGGATCCTTGGACGTTAGTTTCAATGTCCCTTGTTCCTTTCGGAACCCATACTTGCCTAATTTTAAAACATTTTCCTTTCTTCAAAGGACAAGTATGTTCCAAATGACCATGATAATGACAATGTGAGCATATTGTCATTATTGAACTAAATGAATTATTTAAAATGATTTCTTTTTCTTTTGTTAAGCATTCAAGCTTAACTTTTAAATCAAAATTTTCTTTTTCAAAACTATAAATTTTTATTTTTGAAAGCTCTAAATCTTTTTTCAAAATTTCATTTTGGCTTTCAAAATCTATTTTTTTTCAAAAGAAAATCATTTTTGATTTTAAATTTTGAAATCATTTTCTTATATTTGGAGTTCATGGTCTCAAACTACAAATATAACCTATTAAAAGCATCTTGTAACTCATCAAACGTATATAAATTAAGTTTATTTGAGTTAGAAAATACCTCGGGCTCTTCATAAGCCATTAGAGACACCACCTTTGTTGGTTCTTCTTTCTTGTTTCCATGGATTTCCTCGAGCTTATTCCAAAGCTCCTTGGAACTTGAACATGAAGAAACCCCTTCATAGATTTCAGGACCAAATGCACAAAACAACTTGTATATGGCTTTGGCATTAAGTTGAGCTTTCTTCCGTTCTTTGTCACTCATCTTCTTCTCCTTCTTCTTTGGAGAAGAGTAGTTGTTCTCGATTATCTCTCATGCATCAAGATCATTGGATTGTATGAATTCCTTCATTAATTTCTTCCAATGATAATAGTTGACTCCATTGAAGTATGGAGGCTTGTCGGTTGGTAGGGAGTCTTCCATGTGGAACGAGCCAGAGGTGGAAGCCATCTTCTCGATTGTGTCAGGAATTGGTAGAGATTCTTCTAGGATCATCTCAAGGTGGTTAAACATTCTTAACAAGTTAGGCTCTGATGCCAATTGTTGGGATTTTTGAACGCTCGAATCGTCAACCAGAATGGTTTGTAAAGAGGGGTCGGAATGGTTTTTGAGTTTAGGGAGTAAGGAGATTGAAATATAGAAAAGTACACAACGATTTAGAGTGGTTCGACTTTCTCAACCAAATTCTACGTCCACTACCTTAGCTCCTCACCAAGGATTTTCCAACAAATTCACTAATTTGTTCTTTCTTTTGAGAACAAAGAGATAACCTTACAACTCCCTAGTTTTTCCGGGCTAAACTAGAACATTTCCCTAGATTTTACACGGTAAAAGCTAGAACCTTTCCCCTTTACAAATGGATAAAAAATGTAAACAAGAAAACCTCTCTAAGGTAGGTGTTTACAAGATTGAGCTCACAAGAACAAAATATTTACAAGAGAAATATGAAATAAGAATGAAAAACTCTTCTCTTGTGTTTGATTGCTTGGATAGTTGTTCTCTGTGTCTTCAAGTGTCCTTAGCTTGTATTTATAGCTTGGAATGTGTTTGAAGTCGTATATAGCCGTTGGGGATGTTTTGGAGCCGTTTGGGGATGATTTTTTTTGCTCAAAAAGGCTGCCCATTATAAGGGGTATCGGTACTCCTTCATTAAATTCAAATAAAACTAGCCGTTGTAGCCAGGGGGTATAGATACCCCTAGAGGGTATGGATACCCCTGGGGGTATAGATATCATCCGAGCAATCTGGAATTTGAGCCTTCAGGGGGGTATGGATACCCCTGCAGGGGGTATCGGTACCCTATAGCATTTTTGCTCAAATTCAAATTTTAATGGATATTGAATTATTTTTGAAACCTTTTAAAACTTTGAATAAATTCAATTAAGTCCAAAAACATTTTGTAAGTTCAATTCAAGTCCAAAAACCATTTTACCTTAAATTGTTATATCAAAACATAGTTCAACACATGGATTTCATGATCGTACTTCTTGGCGATCTGAATCTGGCTCTGAAGGTCGAACGGGAGGTCGTGGTTGTGGACGACCACGTGTTCAATGTCAGCTATGTGGCAAAATGGTCATCTTGTTGTTGATTGTTGGTATCATTTTGATCAGACATTTTCTAATAGAACAAATGATCGTATTGTGTCTCGTGGTGACTCAATATCGGTTAGTTACTCTAGTTTGGAGACAAATACTATCGGTTTTGACGATTGCTCTTGCTATACAAAAGCTCGAACTGAGGTGCAGGTTTGTTACTCCTCGCACTCGCAGATTCATGTTACTACCAGTGCTAGGGATCGTTGGGTGGTTGACTCCGGGGTTACTCATCACATAACCCCTTACTTAGCTAATGTCATCAATCAAAAGGATTTCTCAGGTCCAGGTAAACTTATTGTTGGTAATGGTGTTTATCTTCCTAATCGAGCTATTGGTAAATTTGTTTTATGTTCTCCTTCACGAGCATTGTTGTTGAATGATCTTCTTCATGTACCTAAGATAACAAAAAATCTTCTCTCAGTCTCGAAGCTTGCTAGGGACAATGATGTGTATTTTGAGTTTCATGCATCATGCTGATGTGTTCATAATGAAGAAACTGGAGATGTGTTGCTGTAGGGTCAAGAGAATGATGGCTTATACTCTTTTCAAGTTGATTGTGTTGATGATATGAGTACTGGTATTGAAGCTAATAATGTTGTTACTTCACATAGTTTGTATGATCTCTGGCATAGACGCCTTGGGCATCCTGCACATGGAACCCTTGAGCAAATATGCAAAACAATCAATGTAAATGTTGAGAAAAAGGTTAATGAACTTTGTATTGCTTTTCACATAGGCAAGAGTCATAAGCTTACCTTTTATGATCCAACTACTGTATATGAGTCACCTTTCCAACTTGTTTTTACTGATTTATGAGGGCCATCTCCAGTTGTTTCGAATGGTTATAGATATTATGTCAGCTTTGTTGATGCATACACAAGACATACATGGTTGTATCTTCTTAAGGATAAGTCTCAGGCTGCTCGTGCGTTTCAACTCTTTCAACAGCTTATGGTAACACAGTTTGGCCTAAACATTTTGGTTGTTCAAAGTGACTGGGGAGGATAATATCGTCAATTGTCTCGTATACTCACTGAAATTGGCATTTCTCGTCGTGTCACATGCCCACATACTTCAGAGAAAAATGATGTAGTGGATCGTAAGCACATGCATGTTATTGAACTTGCTCTAGTATTGCTTGCTCAGGCTTCCATGCCAATTCAATACTGGTCATATGCAATGGTTATGTTTGTTTATCTTATTAGCATACTTCCCTCAAAGGTGTTAACATGAAGGTATCCGTTTGAGTGTTTGTTTCGCAAGAAGCCTGATTATAGTCTACTCAAGGTGTTTGGGTGTAGGTGATTTCCTCACTTGAGACCGTTCAATAATCATAAGTTAGACTTTAGATCTCAGCCTTGCACATTCTTGGGTGTTAGCCCTCAACACAAGGGGTTTTTTTGTCTTGCACCTGATAGATGTGTAGTTGTTTCTCGCCATGTGAAATTTGATGAGTGTAAGTTTCTTTTTGCAGGTGCTAGTTCTATCAGGAAGTTAGCAACTGTTTCAGAATTGAGCAGGTCTCTTGATATAGTTATGGATATTAACAGGTTGTATATTGGATCTGCTAGGGTTCTAGAATCTACTACTTTATCCTTAGATGTTCCTGAACCAAGCTCAACACAATCAATACCGGTTGATGTGTCTGCTGCCTTGCCTGAAGTTCCCAGTGTTGTTCAGTCTTCACCTGCTCCAATAGTTACTGAGTCTGATGTCAAGGTTCAGTCTCTTCCTGGTGAGCAAACAGTGACTTCGATGGGTAACACTCACCCTATGTTGACTTGTAGTAAGTTTGGGGTGTTTAAACCAAAACTCTATACTACGTTCCTTGATGATGTTGTTCCATCCACTGTTGATAAAGCATTTCAGTCAGCTCCATGGAATGCTCCATTTCGTGCAGAATATTGTGCATTAATTCAGAATGACACGTGGGCTCTTGTTCCCCTACCTGATGATAGGAGCGTGGTGGGGTGCAAGTGGTTGTTTAAGCTCAAATAGAACCCTGATGGGTCTATGCATCGATACAAGGCTCGTATGGTCGCAAAAGGGTTCACTCAGGTCCATGGACATGATTTCAAGGACACATTTAGCCCGGTTGTGAAATTTACAACGGTGTATGTCCTTCTGGCCATGGCTTCTACAAAAGGATGGGTCTTGAGACAAGTAGATGTCAACAATGTATTCTTGAACGGTAATTTGAGTGAAGATGTTTACATGCAGCAGCCTTCAGGGTTTGAATAGTATGCTTCAGATGGTTTTCCATTGGTGTGTAAGTTGCAAAAGAAGCTCTACAGGCTTTGCCAGGCACCATGCAACTGGAATGAAAAACTTAAAGCTAATTTTTTGGAACTAGGGTTTATAGAGTCGAAAGCATATGTCTCTTTGTTTGTTAGGTTCAAAGGTGTCTATTGTACATACATTCTAGTATATGTCGATGATATAATAATCACTGGAACATCTGCTACAGATGTTAACCAGGTTGTAGAAATGCTAAGTTATCGACTTTCGCTTAAGGATCTTGTCGAGTTGTCATATTTTTCGGGTATTGAAGTTAAACGAGTTGGTGCTGGGTTGGCACTTAGTCAACGAACATAGATTTTTGATTTGTTAAAAAAAACATTATTCAAGCAACTTTTACGTGCACTCCAATGATTGTTGCTGCAAAGCTTGCAGTTCAATATGGTGCTCTATTGCCAAATGCTCGTGAGTATCGCAATATTGTAGCGGCTCTCTTGTATGTCTTTCATACTCGGCTAGACATTGTTTTCGCGGTTAACAAAGTGGTTCAGTTCATGCAGTCTCCTTGTGAAGTTCATTTTGTGGCAGTCAAACGCATTTTGCGTTATTTGGCGGGTACATTGAATTATGGATTGGTGTTTTCAGTTGGTGATGCTAGGTTAAATGTCAAAGCCTTCTTAGGTGCTAACTGGGCTGGAGATGCTAGCGATCGCAGGTCCATGTCTGGACATTGTGTTTTTCTTGGGGGTTGTTTAGTTGCCTAGAGTTCAAAGAAACAAAAGATTGTCTCTCGTTCTACAATGGAAGTTGAGTACAGAAGCGTTGCTTATACTGCAGCAGAGGTTACATGGTTTACTGCCTTGCTAAGCGATCTTGGTGTGTCTCTACATGATTAACCTGTCATTTGGTGTGACAACACAAGTGTTGTTGTTATGAGCGTCAATCCGGTGTGTCATGCCCGCTCCAAGCATATTGAGCTGGATATCCACTTTGTTTGGGAAATGATTGCTACTGGTCAACTTCGTGTTAGCTATGTACCTGTTGGATTTCTAGTGGCTGATGGTCTAACTAAGACACTGCCTAAGGCATCGTTTGAGCAGTACCGAAAGAAATTACGAGTGTTGCCTTGTTGAATAAGGGAAGAAGAAGTGGGGAGAATGTTGAGATACTTCATGCAATCCATGCACGTGTGTTGTTAGTATGCTAATAAAGGTTATTAGTCTGTTGTATACAGTTTCAAAAGCTGTTGAAGTTGTTAAGCTTTCTGTTACAGCTAAGCTATAAGTATCAGAACTTTGTAGATTGCAAAACACGTTAATTCACAATGAATTCTTTTTACTTGTTCTTTGTTTCTGCTAGACCTATTATTCCTGTTAGATCTAATACCCTAGATCCCACTTATGGTGAATTCGTGTTAACACATGAGAACATCAAAATACCTGAGTCTAGTAAAATTTACTCTTTCAATGAAGGGAATTTTGACCTCTGGGGTGAAAAACTGAAGAACTACCTCGATCACCTTCGGCAACCAGTATCCAATGGCAAACCTTATTCGGACAGCTACATCGGTTGCCTTGTCGGTGAAATTCATCGAATGCTGCTTCGTGGAGGTATTTATGGCAACCCCAAAAACAAGAACAACAAAAATGGGAATCTGAGACTGCTATACGAGTGTGCACCTATGAGCTTTTTAATAGAACAAGTTGGTGTTGTTGCAATAGACGGTGAACAAAGAATTCTGGACATCGTACCTGAGCAGGTAAGAACTTAACCCATATCCATATTGACTTGTCTAATATATGGTTAAAGTAGGATTGTAAATGAGCCGTGACAGACTACTCGAATTCGATTCAATCAAAATTTAGATTGATTGGATTCGACTCGAGTTTATAACCAACATAAGCGAGATACCTGATACTCAACTTGGAAAACAACGAACAACTCAAAAAAAATAACATATTAACATTTATTTGTTGTTTTTTAAAATACAATATAAGACTTTCATGTATTAAGATTCTGGTTTGAATTCGAGTTCAAGCTTTAACTGAGCTTCAATCTAGCTAACTCTAACAATGTTTCGAGTACAAGTTTTTTCAAGCTTAAGTTAAATTTCAAATTTTGATTTCGAGTCAAGTTTGAATATTTTATGCTCACAAATTTTTTAGTCGAACCTGATAATTTTAAGCTCACTAGTTTCCAAGTAGAGCTTGACAAATTTAAGCTCACATGCTTCCAAACCAAATCAAACTCATCTTTAAACTTCTCAAGTCGAATCAAGCTCAACAATACTCAAACTCGATTTGTTTACAAACCTAGATTCAAGAACTTCGATGTTAACCTGAGTTTGTCCTTGCTCTGGACAAGCAAAGGATAATACAAATCAAACAGTGGTCATTCATGGTTTTGGCTTGTTGCATTGGCAGGTACACCAGCGTACACCAATTTTCCTTGGAAGCCCAAATGAAGTTCGGAAACTACAGAACTACTTAGCTTGAGCCCCAAGTATGAATTTCAACCTTTTGCTTGCAATGAGCATATTTAAAAAACACAAGGATGACAAGAGAAGATTTCCATTAAAGAATAACATGATTAGACAATCAAACTGCTATCAGTGTATCACCAGCCTCCACTACATGATTAAATTAAATAAAAAAACACTTGGTTAACAAATTCTTTAAAGTTGTACTTGTTGAGCATCATAATGTTGCTCAAATTCCCATCAATGGAAGGCATTTCAAACATAACTTGATCTTTACATAGAAATTGGCTTCATGCTGTGTTAAAACGCTTAAAGGTTTTAAAATTGTTGACCAAAACAAGAAGTGTGTTGTTAAGCCATTGCTCGGAGTGAGTGTGGTCAGTTTGTAGCAGGATAATTTTGTTGCTCCAGAGAATTCCTTTGACCTTTTGCTGCAAATTCAGGTAAACATGAATATAGACAAATAATAACTCACAAAATGAGGAGAGTAGAAGGATACAGTATTTTACCTGGGCTCAATATTTTTATGCATTTTGTTATAGACTTCACTGATGTAAGGGTGTTGGCTCCTGCAACCAATAACACAAGCAGGGTAAGCATATAAATATCAGTTTTAAAGCAATTGAATTATGCAGGCAGTGAGCTTCGCCACCTTGGGCCTTCATGTTATTATCTGAAAACACTTCTGTAACAGTAGATGAAAACTTAGACATGACTTGATTAGCCCCCAGATTGCCGTCCCCGGAGTCATGAGATGACCTGTGAGTCATGAGTGAATATAAACATCAGTGAAAAATAACTAACTGAAATTAGTGAGAACTTAATGGTCAAAATATGCAATCCGATTGAAGTAGAACCAATACCCTGAAAGAGCAGCTCCAGAAGTACCCACTGTAGGTTGGGAAGGGTAGCCAAATCCGTCAGATCCAAGATCGAGATCCACCAACAGTTCCGAGAAGGAGAAATTTTCCCCTAAAGCATCTAAATTTGGCAAATCCAGATCAAAAAGATCTGCATCCATTTCAGACTCAGATGTTGAAGTCTCATTCATTATTGGTTTGTCCACCTGCATTGTTGCATCAGAACCATCAAAGTCCAGCCTGCTCTTTACATGATCTCTCTTACCAACCCTCTTCAAACATGTCTTAACTGGTGAACAAGAGGAGATGCAATGATTCCTCTCAATTGTGTAACATGTCATTTGCTTTAAAGGGCTAACTGTAACTCTCTCGGTTGAAATTATAGTGCAGTTAGTAGGAGTGATCTCTTGAGGAGTAACGTTGTGACTGCAGTTAGCAGTTGAAGTAACAGCTGGGGGAGTCATTGATTTATCACTCTGAGGGGAAACTGCTTGTGGCGGCGTCTTAGGACCTGAAGAATTAGTTGGAGGAGTTAGCTGTGGCTGATTGAACAAACACTTTGCAACACTGGATACATGCATTGTCGATTCATTTGGTGTGCAGCTGGAAGGTGTTGATTGATTTAAAGAGCTGGACTGACCAGCTACTTCTCTATTCATCACATTAGCAGACTCTGGGAGCTTATCAATTCCTGCAACAAACTTGTCAAAGATGAAGTTATGGCTGTAACAAGGCATGAAATGGAATATGAGAAGGCAATAAAGTCTACCCTGCACATTTAACTTCCTAGAAGCTAATTTGTTGCGAGATTTCTTTGCAGCTGCTGGGGCTTCAGTGACGGCTTCCAAGCTCCTTTTTTTCGTTGTTAATGGCCGACTTGTAACTGGCGAAGAGTAATTATTTCTCACCATTCTGGAATTAAAAGGACCAGATATTGGAATAACAGTCGGTGTACTGTACACGGGAGGACCTAAAACAAGAATATCGAGAACATACAAGAATCGTTTATCAAAGAGAACATACGAGGTGTGCATAACAATATTTAGATCACATGCCATGATTTGGTATTATTATCATGAACTAATTCTCAAATAGAAATGGAAATACAACTGTAACATCTTCCGGATGAATCTAAAATACAATCAATTAATAGAAGGCCAGAAAAAAAAGGAGAAATCAATTGTAACCAAGAAAAACTTATCAAGAATGTAATTTTTTAAAACAAATTGAGTAATACTATAAGTTGAAACTGAAAATATTATGTTATCAATGACTAATCATGTAAGTTATATAACTATTTGGTTGCACCCTAAAAAATTAACGTCAAGACGTTTTTTATTGTAACTAAAATCATTACTAATTATATAACTTTTTAGATTAAATAGCATTTTAGGTTAAAACCCCACAATATAACATTATCAATTGTAACCACAATATAACATTATCAATTGTAAACAACATTTTAGGTTAAATCCCCAAATATAACATTATTAATTGTATAACTTTTTAGGTTAGAGAAAAAAAATATAATTTTAGGTTAAAATTAACTGTAAATTAGTCTTAAGTGAACCGCACAACAAAACTGTCCAACATCTCCAGAGTACTCTTAAGGCCCTAATAATATCAATTGGAAACTTAAACATTTATAAAAAAAACAAATTGCCACATGCAAACAGTCCCAAATAATCCACATACTAGCACTACTACATCTAAATCAAACAATAACTTAGAGCAAAAAATGGCATCTGCATTTGATAAGCAATTCAATCTTCAAAGGTTTCTCATATTTCAGTACATCAACAGCTCAAGGATAAAGTAAAAGTTAACATAATTATGACCAATTCTAAAAACAATTAACCACCCAGAGCTCTATATTTGTACCTGGGGAAGATCCAGCACGTGGATCTGATTGAGGAACCACGGATACAGTTTTAGTTGCATTTACATGAGGAATCATAAGCACTGATGCAGTGGCACTCCCATTGTAAGCGTTCATTACACTTTGCATTCCCTGCAAAAGGGACTGAACCCTGCATTTCTCCTGCTCCAAACGAGCTCTCTCCTGCTCTACTAACACCTTTTGCTCTTTCAAACAAATATACTCGTCTAACATCGCCCCCAGACTTAACAAACTCTTCGGCGCCTATCGCAAAATAAACAGTACCAATTCAAAACAAAGGACTATCGATAACAATTTCAGAAAAAATAAGGAATTGGGTTAATCGGGTATGTACCTCTCGAACGGGGGATTTGGAAATGAGAGAAGAAGCTTCGTTCCTGAAAGTGGAACGAGTCTCGGAGTAGTTGTTATCGGAAAGGTAGCGATCGACGATGAATGCGACTTGAACCGGAGTGACTTTCCCTTTGCCCAGAATCTCTGGTTTCTTAGATCTGCTTTGCTTCCCCATTGTTTTCCCTCGGAAGCGAAGGAGATAGAAGAATAGTAGAGAGGGAATTTTTGAATGTACTAAAGAGAGATTGGGATTAAGAGAGGGAAAGCGTGGTGAAGTGGCGCCATGGCTGGGGTGAAATGAAAAAACGCGGCACAATTTGAAATCTTTTGGATCAAAAATTACAACGATTCTCTATTTGGTAAATAACTCGCATTTCGGATTTTGTGTTTCCCGGGAATGTCACGCGCCGTTGGCTTTTGTAGCGGTAAACATTTTTATAAGCAGAGGTGTGCGCATTAACCAACTTCATTTATAAATAGTGATTAAAGTGAAATAGTAAAAATATTATTTGAGCATGAATAAAATTTAATTTCATTTAAAATATTAATTAATTTATCAATTTTAAATTATTTGAGTTTTTGGTCAACTCTTAAATAATTTCAATTAAATGAATACATAGTTATATCCTACACGATAAACACCGATAAAACTACTTGAATCCAAAATTTCTATAAAAATAATATTTCTTTTTAATATTAAAATCACTTAATAAATTCATTAATATAAACTTAAAATATGTAATTTTAACTATTCAAATAATTAACTATAATTTAATTACAAAAATAAATTGTAATTCAATTATATTTGTAAAATTTATCAAGTGGACTAAGAATATGTTATTCTTATTAGAGCCTCTGGGTTTAAATAGTTATGTATGTAAGGTGTGTGCATATTGTTAACTGGTAAAAAAGGTTTTAATCAAATCAACTATCAGAATGTAATTTGTGATTTGGTGAAATTGATTTTTTTACTGTGGTTAGAAGATTTATACATATTACATTTGAACAGTCAAAATAGTTATCTAGTTATACAGCTCTTTAGTCTAAATTTATGATATAATAATATATTTAACTTTTAGCACCTTACTCTAAATATTCATTTGCCTTGATGCCTTTATGCTTTGGTGTTTGCGGCCAAATATTTCCCTTACGGTACCACGTCTGGGCGAGAAACCCATTTTTGCATGGCACGGAATTTAGACAATTATGTTGGCATTTCGGGATGGATTTTATTGGCTTCTTGGTCTGAGCAAAAGCATCCGGCTTTTTCTTGATCGTTGGGGTGGATCATCCCTCATTCGGCTTGAATCTACATATGTTGATAGTGGCATTAACTCGGTTCGTTGTGGGTAATTAATGCTCCGGAATGTACCTCGATGGGATGAAGCGAAGGTCAATGCTATCTTCAATTCTAATGATGTTGTTACGATCCTGAAGTGTCCAATTGCTCTGGTAGAACATGACACGCAGTTGTGGAGTGGCCACTCCACCGAGGTATATTCAGTGCGTTCGGGATATTTCTATATTTTGTGGCAACACCGATCTCCCATTGTTTCGTCATCGTTTTGGCTTTTTATGTCCCGACTATCTATCCCCCAAAAGATCCAAATTTTCGGGTGGCGTTTGGCGCAAGAGGCACTCCTCCTTGTTGACCGTCGGCTTCAGTTAGCAGGCATGTCAAATGGTTTATGCCCATTGTATAGTTTAATGTTGAAACAAGTTTACATGCTGCGAGGGACTGCGATGATACAACTGTTATTGTTATTCTTCATTTAGTGGGGTTCACTTCACCTGCCGTTTTTGGCCCATGGAATTCAACCAGTGAGTGGTTGCATTCTCTTCTTCCCGTGTTTACTTTGGATGAGTTTTGTTTTCTTCTAGTGTTATTATATTTTGTGTTGAATAGTCGAAATATGTTAGTTC